CTCGCGGATGAAAAATCGATACTTTCCGAGGGCGGAAAATATCGACATATATCACCAAATCGATTTATTTATACAGCCCTAGTAGGTAATGTGTGTCTTTTATAAAAGGGTAACGTACTTCCAGTAGCAAAGCACAGCTTATTGTATATTCACTATGTTCAAATGGCTCATCAGCCTCAGCAGATAGAAATCAACGTTAAAACAACAAAGCTTGAGTAAAACAACCAAAAAAAAAAGTCTTACTTTAACATAAACCGCATGTTCCATTAATTTTATGTTAAAGCATGTTTGTTCTTCATTCAGTGAAGTTACTCACAGTGGGTGAAGATTTTACACACGTTAACGTGTCTGTGCTTGGTTATAATATTAATTAAGAGTAAAAACTATAGTGTAGTAAAACTAATCCTGAAATTAGAAGTTTGATTTTACAGGCGGTCATGAGGTCTGATGGCAAGAAAGTAGTAAGTAATAATGTTTCTTCAAACGAGGAAGCTCAGTGCATTTTCTGTTTCCAAAACTCTGTCCAGTCTTCTCTAGATAAGATTAAAAAAACAAACAAAAAAAAACAACTGACTGCAGCATTTTGTTGAGGTAACGGAGTAAATACCTCATGCAAGTCTGAGCATTAAATGTGAAAAGAAAGCTTTCAATTATAAAAGCATACACTGGTGCCTACCAGCTGGGACCCACCCAAGTGTGAAAACAACTTATTTCAGGACATCAGAGAAAACAACAGCTTTTCAGTAATGACAGGATCCAGAGAAATACCCTGTGATCTTTTTGTGACGTTTTTTTTTTTTTTTTAACTAATTAAGCTTTTACTCAAAAAAACATAAAATCACAAGACATTTACTAACATGTTACGTGACACAGATACACGTTTACGGTAGTATTATAACATAAGAGTTTGAAATTACACTAACTTTTAATGATTTTAATGATTAATCCTACTCTAATTCACTCTACATAGCATCTCAAAGTGTGTGTACAATCTCTTTCTCTGTTAATGCATAAACGTTACCCCTGTTTGGAATGCATTAGGAAACAGTATTTGGACAACACTAGCTAAAATCAAATATAACATTCTCAGAAATAAATGTATTGCTCTAAGTTACAAATTCCCTAAAATAATTAATTGACCGCCCTCACCCTAATGCAGGGTAACAACAATAATTACCAACACTCTGCTGTTCCTCGTGTGGGAAATGTCTTTAAAAGTTTCCAAAAATCTCAGTGGGAGGTGAGAGCAGAGGTGAAACTCAGAAAAGCAGGTTGACGTCCACATCATCTGTGGAGAAACAGGTTTACAGAGAACAGTGAGTCTGACTGATATATAATAAACTGTCCATGTGTTGACAATTAGCTGGAGAGAGGATAGACATATAGGAACATTTGGTAAAATCTTCACCACACCCGTGATTAGACCACAATTAATAAGTCTAATATTCAAGCTCACAGTAAATTATACAGTTTCATAAGTGGTAATGCTCTCACCATCCTTGATGCCAAAGCAGGAGGTCCATTCTTTCAGGGTGACTTGTTTGTCCTTGTCAGCATCACACTCCTGGAAGAAGAGAGAGGTGCAGTGCTCCATCGGTACCAGGGGAGCCCGGAGTGGGGCCAGCTCTGAGTGGGACAGGGTCCTGCACAGAATGAGCAGCGGGTGGATTTTCATCACGCTGATCACATGTAGCTTAAGTAATCACATGTTTTTGTTGTTAATGTAACAAAAACGTTAACAACAAAAACTTGTTCTTTTCTTTTGGACACAGGAACAATGGCTCTCAGAAGTGTACGTCTATTTTGCATAGCTCAAGAGAAATACAAGCAATTTGTTAAAAGGACACAAAATGAGATGCATTCACCAATTTAAAATGTCAAAGGCAAATTATTTTTGAGTGAAAGAATAATGAGACCGTACGAAGAAGCATCTTTACCCATGACCAATAAAATTCAGCTTTTGCTTTAAATGTCATACCAAGATTGATAGTAATTTTGTTTAAATTGATCATCTTTTACTGTGAATTATTTAACAAAACAGATTCTTACTATACATAATGTTGTGATTATTTAATCAATTCAATTTGAAATAAAGACAAATATTTATTTGGACTAAAGAAACAAATACTACAGATTTATTTTTTTCTTTATTTCTAAACCCAAAATTTAATTTCACATCTGGAAACATTTGTCCCAATTAGCTGTGAGTGAAGCACGGATGGTGAAAATGTACCTGTCAGAAGGATGCTTGTCCAGCTGAGCAAACTGCCAGTGAACCGGATAGATGTACATGTTGTAGTTCTTTTCAAAGTCCTGCGCAAGGAGCTCGACAGAGTGATTGCCAGCGTGAAGACGCCTCTCGTTTTCAAAAATCTTCTTCACCTTCAATAAAGAAACACAAAACAGATCACTTGCAAACAAACAACAACAAATCTACAGCTGATGTTTCTCACAAAAAATTAAAAAAAAAAGTCACGGTCAATTAAAAACAACACAGGTCTGAATCAGGTGAAGGTTTTCAATTATTTTTCAAGGTCTTGCTATGGCCTGTTGACATTGTTAATACCTGCAATATCCTAGTATGGGGCAAGAAAAGCCAAAGTGTGGTAGTAAATAACTTATTTTTTTACAAAGAAAATTCTGGTCTAAAATGAAAAGAATGGATACATTCAAGCTCAAAAAGAGAAGAACAAGCTTCCATTACAGTAATGTTGCGTGTCTCACTCTGAAACGCTGTTTTGGGGTGAGGAAGCCCGGGGAAACGGAGTCATGCTCATAGAGCTGCAGAAGCACGTTTTTCAGCCAATCTCTCATTCGCAGAGGAAACTGGACCAGTTCATTCTTCACACACTGAGGAATTACTGAGAGAAGGAGGACACAAAACAAACAGTTCGATACAGTCAAAGGTTCGCCCCCGCCAACAGTTTTCTTCAACAAAGACCTGCCTAGTTCTCACGTTTGCATGGGCCAGTGTAGTCCAGGTGAAGCTTGTAGCCTCTCTTTGTGCCCTCCAAGTTACACTTCGTAGCAAAAAGCTCACACGACGTGTCGTATGTTTTGTTATCTGTCCCACAAACCTGAACGGACATAAAGACCTTTTAATGATGAGGCTGTCCAGTTGAATCAGTAGTACTTTGCACACGCTTACATGTTCAAATGTATTTGTGCTGCCTGGACACTCTAATGGGTCTTGACACACACATCCAGGTTTACCATCCGTATCCGGTTTACATGTTTTTCCTCGCTTGCACCGAAAATTGTCACATGGATCTAGAAGAAAATGCAAAGACTCCATTTGTTTACCATACATCAGATTTACAACAAAGTGGCTTGTTTTATGGCTGGTTCTTCTTGTGGAAACCAGTGAGTACTCACTGCCTGCATCACCTACATTCCTCTATCATTAGAGCTGGTACAGTCATTAATTTCATGCCCATCTGCCTGATTCACTCCTTAAGCTATGGAGCGCCATATTAATCCTGCAGAACTTTGTTTTGGCAGTGACTGTGAAGCCATGCAGGCACTATTCATGCGGAAGTGGGACCAAAGTGGTCCAGTCAGCAGATTCCCCTGTGAGACTGTTGGGATAGGGCATTAGTCACCGGGTGGTGAACACTGCTGGTCAGATACCATGGAGGACATTTTAGTCCCAAGGATAAACACTGTTCATTTTATCTTCCATCATGATATATTTTAGTTTTAAAGTTTCCATTTAAAAGTAACTCAACTAAGTTTGTATATTGGTTAGGGTTAGGTTTAGGTTTAGGTATAGGGTTAGGTTTTTCTTCATTTTTGTACTAAATGTCTAGTCATATGTTTACATTTAGATCCACTAATATATGATTCTCATAGGCCTCTTTTTTGTTTCTTCACCAATTAAAACACCACTGAGTATATTTCGGTACGACCCTCTCTTCCCGTTCCAACCTATTAGGTAATGGCCACAAAATGGAGTCAGCTGGCATTATTCACTGATTTAAAATTGCATCATTTAAGCTGTTTATATCAGTTTGATACAGAACCACTTGGGGTAAAATATGTGATCCATATGGACTTCAAATGTGTTGCGCTACTATAGTCTTGCCACCAGGGGTTGTATTGGTCAACTCAAGTTGGTCTGATCTGAGAAGCCTATTACGAGAACACATCTGGTCTGAGCCAAATCCGTATGTGGTCCGTATGAATGTGCTCAACGGGAAATACTATTTCTTACTTCTAGAAACTTAGTTGTGACTAACATCAATTGAACATCATGCTTTTTTATTTTCTCTTTTTATGACAAATAATAAAGCATTAAACACAAACCTGGTGGAGTTTGTGAAAGATGTATGTTGCCACTCGAAAAGGACCTGGACCGAGGATACAGATCCACTGAGGCTCTGATCTGCACAGGATTCACCCCCACTAAGGGACCCTAGAGAAAATGATACGTAAATAAAAAAAGTAATCATAACGCTATCTATGATAGCATCATGTTGGGAAATAACACAGCATTGACAAGTCACTTTTGATGACAATATAATGGGCAGATTGCTTAAGTCTTTCACTTCCTTATCTTTTAAAACCTTGATATGGTAATGCTACCCAATTGTTTTCCTCATGAATCCTCACTACTGATTGGATCAGAAAGAGGGTTCTATTTACTTTATGTGTATAGCTGTATTATGTTCTTAACCACACTTTTTGTTGAATTTGCTTTTTTATAACTTATAAACTCTTTTTTTTTAACTTGTGCCTTATTGAATAGAAAACATTGGTTAGCGACCTTAGGGCCAGTAAATTTGCAAATACTTTTACCCATTTTCCGTTCCGTTTCCTCTTAGCTTTGTGAACGACGTTCTCAGTGCTGCTGCCCTCAGACTCCTCACTGTCCAGTCGGCCCTGGTCTTGTATAGGATGTGTTTCATTCCTTTGTGGAGAGTGCTTCCTGGGTCTCTTGTTTTTCTTCTGCTTCCTTGTCTTTCTCTTAGAGAAAGCTCCACTGTCACTCTCATCCTTCCCTTCTTCCTTTTCAGACCTCCGCAGACCAGAAATAAGCCCAACGCTGCTCTGAAACTCTTGACGGTCCACAGTCTCCTCTGGTTTGTCCGTAACAGCGTGTTTTTCTTTTGATTTGGTCGATGAATCCTTGCTCTGATCAGTCATTTCTTCCCGGTCTCCTGCTTCAGGGGATGGCATGTATTGCATGAGAAGTTCTTTCTCACCCATCTCTTTCTTGGTGTCTTGAAGATCCCTTTTTGATGAAGACTCTTGGTTTTCAGTCGATGGGTAGAGATCTTCTGATTCCACCTGAGCAGGTATTAATATTCCACTATCAGCAGCAGAATCAAGAGTCACTGGAAGTTCTGACTCTGTGCTGCTCTCTGTTTCCTCCAGCAAGCCCACCTGACCACTTCGTTCAGTTAGCTTGATTGCAGGTTTTTCAGCCTTTGCCTTCGCTTTGGCCTCTTTTTCCTCACTGTCGTCTTTCGTTTTTGCCTCATGTTTGATCATTTTCACTGCTTCTGAACTGTCGTTAGCCTTCTTTTCGTCCATCATTGTTACCTCGTCTTCTGTTTCATCTGCTTCTTCATCTTCTGCTCCCTCCGTCAAAAGACCTACCAGTTCTTCTTCGCTCAAAAGCACTGCTGTGAGTTTCTCTATTTCTTCGTCCACTTCTTCACCCTCTTTGTTGGCATTAGTATCATACCCAGAGCTCACTTCCTCAACTTCCGGTTCCTGACTGCCAGTTTCAATGGTGGCCAAAGTGGGAGAGACCTGTGGCCTGTTGCCCTCCATCGTGATGACATCCTTAACCAGGAGAGTGAAGAAAGCATTCAATTTACAGAGCTTTGCAAACATATTCGTGCCGTTTTCAGTTGTTCACAATTTATGATGTTACAACTACTAACTTGTATATTTTAGTATGATAAAATTATATTAACCAAAACAAAGTAGACTATTAAAAATCTAATGTATGGCATGCATTTATATTCAGCTCTTTTACTCTGATAACCCTGAATACAATCCAGCTGAACATTTACCAAGAACATTGCCGTGTCAAAATATCTGACGGATGTATGAGAGTTTACCTTTTCTGTACCCGAGTGTGACGACTCCCGCATTCCATGGTGTTTTTCACGAGATTTACATTTCACCTATTCATAACAGGAATATTGATAATTCATCCCAAAATGAGCATGCATTTTATCTTCATGCTATATTTAAAAAAAAAAACAAAAACAAAACGTGTCACTTGATAAAGAAAGGGGTGTAATACTTTGCTACTCACAGATGGAGCAAACGTTGCACCTAGAAAGAAAATTAATATCAAGGAGACCCTCATATCTGAAATGTCACAAGGAGTGGAAACTGTTAGTCAAAGAGACAAATCGAAATTCACAGCAAAGCTGATTTTCCACAAGACTTCAACTTGTATTGTTTTTTTTTTGTCTTTTTTTCCCGGCTAAAACAGAATGCTGCATATGTATGCAGCCAGCAACTTGGTACTCTACTGTTGTCACAGTTACTGGCCTCATACACAGGCCTCACTCTCAAAAGTCACATTCAGGGGTAAAGTAAACATCAGAAGCTACCAGACTGGAAAACGTCGACTAAATCCACAAAGTGAGTGCCAGGACGGAAACAATACAGACATCAGTGGATCTGTCCAGTGGAATTAAAGCTTTGTGACTGAGTGAAATAAGCCTGACACATGGAAAAGCAACAGGGGTATGTGTGTGAAAATGCACTGAATGTATGGAAACTCTACGTATATAGTAAACAAAAATACACCTCACATTATTTCAATATGTACATGGTCTTTCTTGAAACTATTCAATATAATATATGTCATTGTAATTTGTGTGAAATTTGTGCATAACTCCATGTATGTAACTTTTTCTTTTACTTTAATATCAACAGTTTTTTAGTAAATTACAATATTAATAGTGCATCAGCTGTGCTGTCATGCACAAAAGCAATACCACAAGATGTGACTTTCAGTGGAATAGCAAAGTCCAGCAACCTTTCTTAAACGAGGTAACATTTTAACCAGACCAGAGGCATTGAAAACATCATTCAGCAGTTTCACTTAATGTTTTTTAATACCTTCTTTTTCCACACACCTTTAGCCTGCTTTGAAGAAAAGAATCACAGATACTTGCAAATCGGTTTTACCTGCTTTTTGCTGGAACAAGGAAAATGAGAGTCCTGAAAAAACACCAGAACGTGCTGATGTTGAACCGGTGAAGCTGTCCTTCTGTATGCAATGCTGCACTCACTGACCGCTCAAGCTGAAATGAACACAGGAGTTGGGGTTTTTTAAGGTCTGGGATGCCACTACTTTGGGAGGGTCTTTGGGCTGCACAAAGGGTAACATGGAGGCATCCAAAACTGAACTTAAGCTTTGTCAACTGCCTAAAAAAATAAACAGAATTTTCTCCAAAGCACAAGAAGTTTAAAAGCTGTTTATTGGTGTTTGCATTTCACCTGTAGCACCTAGGCACATTAAGTAATTTAATGGCCAAGATCTCATCTCGGACCAAAGTGTATGTATGTTGTTTCATCTTTCAGTGTTCCTGCTGCTGGAAGTTTTTATATTTTGTTACATTAAAACCACAAACATCAATATATTTATGCTAATTTTATGCTTAGTGGTGCAAAGTACTCAATACCCTTCCATCCATCCATCCATCCATCCATCCATCCATCCATCCATCCATCCATCCATCCATCCATCCATCCATTTCTGATTCCTACTTGTTCTTATAAGACTAAGTGGAAGATTATGTTCATGCACAGTGTCCAATCAATCCTCAGTGAGCTCAAGGTGGTTTACAAAGAAGAATGGGGAAATAAATCAGTGTTATATTAGCACTAGTTTATGTTGGTTTGTTACAAAAATAATAAAATACCAATAAAATACATGGAAGTTTGCGACTGTAAAATGAGGGAGCAAGATAAAGTTCATCTGGTCTAGATTCTTTTGACAGAATTCAGTCGAACAATGCAAATATTGGCCACTAGATGTCACTGCATACCAAGACTGAACTCCTGAGGGATATTAAGCAACATTGACAGATGATGGAAAACAGGATGGAAATAATCTTTAAAACCATTCCCAGACCAGAACCTACAGGTACAACTATTGTGTTGAGCATTTGTTTAGAGAATAAGCCTCAGATGGCCAAGTGGGTTTGTGTGTGGTTTAGAAAAAGCTGCTTTACGCAAACGGTAACAATTTAACACCTTCATCTAATGCTGGGTTATTACAGCCTGAAAGAGCAGGGAATCACTGTCGGGGATAAAAGAGAGAACAAGCGTACCACTGACTGGGAGTAACAGACTATACAGAACACTTTCATGGTGAAAATAGGTGGAAACATGAATGACAAAAATGGTATTCTTACAAATTTGTTATGCATATCTGATTTGTCTAGCCTGTACACTGCTTTGAAGAAAACTAAGTATATAGTATGCTAAATTTATTCTATGATCATTATTTTGTGGTTAATCTCTGTCTATTTGTGTTACTTAGTTTCCCATTGTAATATTTTTAAGTGTGTTTTCCACTTCTTTACACCTCCTCCTTATTTGCATATCATCAACTGTTTTCGATTCAGCTGAGTTTCTTAGTTAAAAGTGGCTTGGCTATTTTTCTCAGTGAACTAATTTAGACTATGTTTCTTGGAAAATTTTCAAGTACAGTACCTTTTATTTTTGACCTCTCATCATGCACTATCTTCAGATTTATGCTTCTGTCCACAGCAACTGCATAGCATCAATTACTGTAGGGCTTTTAACACAAACAAGTCTAAGTTTTAGAAAACAGTTTGTCCAGCATATTTTTACTTGTTATTTCTTCCACTGATTGTATTTTTACATAAAATGTATATAATATCAGTGAACACCTTTTGTGTTTTCTAAGTTTTCTCCCAGCATCTGACACCATTTATTACATATCCATAACAAAATGAATTTGATAAAACAAGTCACTGCAACAGGCTGTGGGTTTCTTGCCTACTGATGACACTTCAGCATACAAAAGGGTTACAACACATTTTTCATTTTTATTTTCAATTAAATCTTAATTTTGCCCTTTTTAATTACATTTACAGAAGTTCACAAGGAATGTATAGCAGACATTCCTATACTGGCCAGTCTTTAAATCTGAAATGGAGAGATGGATGAATACACCTTTTAGAGAATGAGGCAAGGAATAAGCTTCTTCCATAAGGCGGCTAGACTCACCCTTAGAGATGAAGGGTGAGGGGTCAGGTTAGGTAGCTTAAGTATCTGATTAGGGTTCTCCCAAAACAACTCTCTTTGGGGATCTTCTGGGATTGAAGGATGAAATTGAGGGTAACATGGTCCTGGAGAGTCTCTGCTAGACTCATTATCCGCAAATCAGAAATGGATGAATGGAATGTGGGATCAATTTTACTCAAAGAAAACTTAAATTCTACATTTTCCAAACATTTTCACGCTGCGTTAGAACCCTGAATACAGTAACATAAAAAAATGTATCCAAACACTGATCTTTGTGGAGCTCCAAAACTTCAGAAATAAAATCTTTACTATTAAAACGTTGCTCAGTACGTTGCAAACTGCTGCACAAGTAGGCTACATCAACACAGGATCATTTTCAAAATGCATAACAGATCTAACACCATTTACACATGCAGTATCCATTTTGATTTGCTAAAACGTTCACACTGATAATCTTTTAAGATTATATTTACACAAAGCAGTTTTAAGATAAAATATTCATTTTCATCTCTTCCATTAGTTTCAGCAACTAATGGAAGAACGCTGATTGTGCGGTAATGGGTGTTCATACTTACAAAGATGGAAATCCCTCACATATATATATGCACATAAGCGAAGGATCCTGTTTATCAAACAAGATCAAATTAAACACAGAGTCCCAGTAATAAAGCACATATAGGCTTATTATTTGCACTCACTGCACTAGGTGTGCAGTTGAATAGGATGGCACAGGATTAAAACTGTCACCTTGGAGTGAACAGACATTGCTGACGGTCTGTGTGCCACAACATGCATCAATCAATCTCCACCCCGCTCCTGCCCGGTGGTTTTAGTGGTTTGCTCCAGACTGGTGAACATCCAGGCTAATTGCAGGTTTCATCCTCTCAAAAGAAATCCAAGCGTGGAGTTAAACATGGAATTTTGTTCACTTATTTTTGGACTAGCCATATAAGGACATCCTGGAAGTAATTATGAGCCTGGGGGGAGAAAAAAAATAGAAGGGCTTCCATTAGGACTCTGAACTGTAGATGCATTATTTTGAAGAATGAGTTATATTTAATAGTACATACTCTGCCCTGTGTACTGGTTATATATTTTAGTCCTAACAAAGTGCCTGACTTCTGGCAAGGCCTTAATCCTCCTCATAATTTTGTTCACTGATACAATCAATAAAGAAAACGCAAAAATGTTGCTTTTCTTGTGAATTATCCAGCTAGCTACTTGTAGCCTGCGCTTTTCCTCTACCTTGTGATTTATTATGCCAAAATAATCAAAACTTCAGCTGGAAAATTCACCGGAAACAAGCATTTGCTGCGCTGAGCTGCTTGTCCCACTTTCTCTCTCAGTGGGTGAGTTTGTTTTTCCTGCAGACCACAAACCTATGGTTTGGTAGGCTAAATTACATTTCTCTTTAGACATGAGAGGGGGCGGAGGAAATTTATGAGAGTGAATGTGTGTTTCTTTGGCCCTGCAATCATCATCATCATCATCATGCCAGTCTGAGTTTGTCTTGAGCTCATTTTCTGGAACAAATACACCTTCGTGTGTCTGCTACACACACAGAGAGAGAGAAAGAGAGAGAGACCCGGAAGGAAGTGATGCAATCAGCCCAATTGAGGATTCATATATACGGTGGTGTTTTGGGGTGTTGTAGCATTTCCATACATCGTGCATCAACTACCAACTTTGGTACGGAGCTCAGAACAGGCATTGGATTCTACTTAGTGCCGTCGTCTTTGTTATACCTGAATCGCTGCTGAACTCTCCTACACAGACTGAATCTGAGGTACAAAAATGTAATTGATCTTCAATTTACTGGCATTATTTTTCACTTTGTGCTGTCTTTTGATTTCTGGTCATTTCTGATATCTGTGCACTTGTTTCTTGGTCAGACTTGGTTCTGTCTCAAACATGTTTTGAAGTCAATGCTGTTGAGCTCACATTTAGATTTGCAGATTCAAGATATTAGTTTATTATTTCTTACTTGCTATGTTAAGGCTTGCCAGTAAATTAAAATGCAATGGATTGGAACTGAATCTATCTTTTTAGCTCAACAGAGCATGCAGGAATGGCTTCCTTGGTGAACCGGGGAGGAATTGGTGATAGGGATAAACACTGACTTATTACTGTAACCTTTGTGTTCTTCTGTTGCAGAATGAAGCTTATCATTATAACATGTTGCCTTATTGGAGCAGCTTTTGCTAACCCAGTAAGTATGAAGCTCATTAAAAAGTCTAAACTCTTGAAACAGGCCAACATTTATCAACTTAGTGATTTGCTTTCAGTTTTAAAAAAAAAATATATATACTGCTCAAAAAAATAAAGGGAACATTTCACTTTAATTTTGTGTGTGGCTCCAAATCCAGGCTGCCATTGGTTAATAAATTTGATTTCCATTGATGATTTTTGTGTGATTTTGTTGTCAGCACATTCAACTTTGTACAGAACAAAGTATTCAATGAGAATATTTCATTCATTCAGATCTAGTATGTGTTATTTGAGTGTTCCTTTTATTTTTTTGAGCAGTGTATATTGTGTCAAAAAAACTGAAAAAAGAGAGACGAGATATTCTGAGATATCAACTAAGTGAAAAAAACAGGAACCTTCTGAATGCCCAAGTGTATGATGATGTCCCTCTTTGTTTTTGTTTTTTTTTAATATTTTGTTTTGTTTTGTTTTAACAGATTTTACACAACATTTTGGTATCAACTGAGTCTGAATCAAACTCTGTAAGTAATATTTCCACCCTTCTCCCTGAACTTAATTACCCTGAACCCTCAACCTCCCCAGAGGTGCTTGACTGTTTTTTACTACTTAATGTAAATGTTAATGCAGTTGGAATCGTTCCTCCTAAGTAGCTGCTTGCACAGTTGCTATTTAGGAGCAACTGTGCTGAGGGGCAAAGTGGCTCCTGATGTAAAAATAATAAAACTTTATCTATAGCTTATTAAATGCAAGAAAAGCAGCAATAATACCAGTTAATCTTTGCTAAAAAAAAAAAAAAAAAAAAAGGGTAAAAACCTTTTTTTCTTCTCCCTCAAAAAACTGGGGGGAAA